TGTTAAACAGAATCAACAAATTTTCTGATTTCAACCAGGGTAACAATGTTAAATAGAATCAACAATTTTTCTGATTTCAACCAGGGTAACGATGTTAAACAGAATCAACAAATCTTCCTATTTCAACCAGGGTAACAATGTTGAACAGAAACAAACCTTCTGAATTAACCAGGGTTAACGTGGTTGAACAGAAACAACAAATTTTCTGATTTCAACCAGGGTAACAATGTTAAACAGAATCAACAAATCTTCCGATTTCAACCAGGGTAACAATGTTAAACAGAATCAACAAATCTTCCTATTTCAACCAGGGTAACAATGTTAAACAGAATCAACAAATCTTCCTATTTCAACCAGGGTAACAATGTTGAACAGAAACAAACCTTCTGAATTAACCAGGGTTAACGTGGTTGAACAGAAACAACTAGTCTTCTGAATTCAACCAGGGTAATGACGAACAGAAACAGCAATAATAAAATGTAAATTATGACTGGAATATTGGATATATAAGTGGGTATTTCAATATAATAAATCTTTTTGTACAGATTGACATGAACCTTTCTTTACTGAAAACAAATAAAATAAAATGTATCCATAGAAATGTTAAAACAGTATTTTTTTCTTTTGCAGTGGAAATTAGCTTCTGGTTTTCTTACATACGACTTATTTTGTGCATTAATATTAATATACTTGAATGTTAATACTGTCTAAAGCTACTAACATATAAACTATAACAATCTTGTCAGACAACAGAAACGTTATTTTTCTGGGCCAAACAATGATTAAGTTACATTGAAGATAGTCACACTAATACCTTTGGTTTAAAGTAATTTAATACTTGGTTTTCACAACCAGGATTTTCAGGCAACTTTTTTCTGCACTATCATTTTTGTGGTCAGACCATAAATATTGATTAAGTTTGTGTAAGACAAAAACAATAAAAGTGGAGCCTTTCAATTTTGGTACATCACAGTTGGAAGCCTGACTGGTAGTTAAAAACTGTGCTGTTAATACAACTACACAGTGTACTAGATTATATTACAAATATCCTACATCAAAACAAACCATATAGGTGTAAAAAGATGTTGTCATTTAGATGTAAAGTAATTTTTGCTCACCATCTTTCATGTTACAAAAAATAAAATAACTGGTAAAAACATCTTTAAGCTGAATGCCTACTCTTGAACAACATGAATAGAAGTTTCTACATTGCACGGTTGTGTAACCAAGTAAGATTGGGCAAAAAAAGTGCTGAGCAGGCATGACAAATCTGTCTTCTTTCATGCCAGTCTCTAATCTTTAATTCCTTTAGCTTGTTGCTAAACAATTTAAATTGTAATCATCAGAATAGTTCAAACTTAGAATAATGAACTTTGTTGGAGCAAGGAAGATATTACTGTCTCCGTCTGAACAGTTCACACTCAGAATACTGGCCTTTATTGGAGCAATGAAGAAATAACAGTCTCATTCTAAACAGTTCACACTCAGAATACTGGCCTTTATTGGAGCAATGAAGAGATAACCATCTCATTCTGAACAGTTCACACTTAGAATACTGGCCTTTATTGGATCAATGAAGAAATAACAGTCTTATTCTGAACAGTTCACACTCAGAATACTGGCCTTTATTGGAGCAATGAAGAAATAACAGTCTCATTCTGAACAGTTCACACTTAGAATACTGGGCTTGTTGGACAGAACAAAAGCTGTCCTTTAATCTTTATGGATGACATGTACAGAACGTGTCATCCATAGATTGAGACACTGATGTTTGTGTTGTACAGTAGCAGAACGTGTCATCCATAGATTGAGACACTGATGTTTGTGTTGTACAGTAGCAGTTGTGTTGTACAGTAGCAGAACGTGTCATCCATAGATTGAGACACTGATGTTTGTGTTGTACAGTAGCAGAACGTGTCATCCATAGATTGAGACACTGATGTTTGTGTTGTACAGTAGCAGAACGTGTCATCCATAGATTGAGACACTGATGTCTACTGTACAACACAAACATCAGTGTCTCAATCTATGGGTGACACGTTCTGCTACTGTACAACACAAACATCAGTGTCTCAATCTATGGATGACATGTTCTACTACTGTACAACACAAACATCTGTGTCTCAATCTATGGATGACATGTTCTACTATTGTACAACACAAACATCAGTGTCTCAAGCTAAGATTTAAAAAGCTATGGATATACTTTACTTTGGTACAGGCAGAACAATTCACTTTATAGATGATGAAATGTACAAGGAAGTGTGAAGAAGATATTAGAGCATAGTATCTTTAAGATGATGTGTGTTCAATTAGTAAAAATGAGAACTTTAATGTAGAAGCTACTAGTACAAAAAGTTAAGATTTCCAAAGTTACTTTAAAAATAGTGAAAATTTAACATGTTTACAATATGGAAAAGTCTCACCATGCTGCTTAAATATACCATCAAGATATCAATCTATATATAAAAATCTGTGTATCTGTCTGTCCTTTATTTAACTACTCCTAGGTCACTGGGCCAATCTCAACCAAACTTTTTTTGTGAGATAGTTTTGAACAAAGGGCATGTTATTGGGGGTTCACCACTCCCCTCCAACTCCCCATTACTGGTGTCCTTAATTGCATCATGTCCTTACACCAAAAAATAAACTTAAATTTTCTATAAAACAACATATACACAGTGTGGTGGGAGGGCACACAAACGTCATATATCTCAGAGTGTGTGCTAGCACTGAAGGAATGCAAATAAAACAAAATGGCTGCCACTATTGCAGCACTACATATATTCAGCTGAAGTTTCTACTCCAATAGTCACCATAAACTTGATATAAAGGGCAGTTTCTTGAGTTATACCAACTTCCTACTTTGACCCGTGACCTTTCAACTTTAACCAGTAAGAAACTTCTGTGGCCAATACGGTCAATTAATTAATGACGTATAAAACACTGTGCAAGGACATTAAGAGCTGGGGGTTGAAAGTGGGTAACAGAAAGCACCCCTACTGCCACTACCTCTTCGTACAAAGTCATCCTGACCGTCACACAATGTATACCAGGTTTATAAACCAGATAAGGTTTATATTTAGACACAATAAAAAAGACAGGTTGTAATGTTTAATAATTAGTAAGCTCTGGGTAGTTAGTGCAGGAATATCCTTTTTATATGGAGCTACAATATTCCAATATCACACTGCAGAGCTCCAGAGGAAAACATACGTGTCTATGACCGTGCAACTCGCAACAGCAAGAAGTTCAACTTAACGAAGGAATCTACAGGTACCACCTACTGGATAGCTTCACAGTAGGACTTGATATATTGCAATTACATTTTTAAAAAGAAACAAATTCATAAATTTTTTCAACATTTGTGATAAGGAAAAAGGGGGGGGGGTAATACATAACCACAGAATAGGACATTCACGGAGTCAGCAAATCTTGAGTTTTGTCTAAAGC